CCCCCCCCCCCCATGCTAGTCTTTGGAATGGCACTCGTTCAGATGAATTCAGGAAAGAATAAAAATTAGCTGGTCAGGACTAAATCCACAGGACTGATTTCTTAAGTGTGGGGTTTGTATGAAAACATATCCAGGCATTTGTCTTTTGTAGCCATCAGATACTACAAACATTTAGCTAAGAAAAAAAGAATCAGCTGGAACATATTTTTTCTCACATGGAGAAAACAGATCCATTACTTGTTATTTAAGATATTTCTGGTGAGCTGTGTTTTCCTATTTGTCCTCTGTGGCATGGCATCAACAAGCCAATTTCCTCAATATGTCAAGATTCTGTCAAAATAAAGAGCGATTCTGAAAACACGTATTCCTGAGGCATTTCATTGGGTCATATGAGGAGACAGAAGCCACCGTGGGTTTGCCTCTCACCCCGCCCTTCCATCTTCTCCCCACCTCTCCCATCCCAAATCATGGCCTGAGCGCATTTCTTTATTGCAACGTCTGTAATGGGAAAAGATTAATTTTTATAAAAAGGAGAAAATAAGTATTTATGATGATTCAGATTTCAGAACACTGCACAAGAGAAAGGAAATTATCCTGGGACTAACTGGTCTTTCCAGTTTGAAATGTGATTCTAGCAGCTTTCTATCTCTCCTTAAAGTGGTAAACAAATAATTTAGGCATTCTACCAATCTTTCCAGAATCTCAAGGTCACTTTTTCACTTTTTCACACACCAATCCAACAATGATAACTCTGGATATGTTTTCATCCATAAGCGTATGCCTATTACATTAGGCTAAATGTAGAAATAAAGTAGATTAACAAAACAATCACTTTTCTCATCCCTTATAGTTTAAATCCCCCAAATTAAACCTAATAATTATTACTGCTTCAAATGTCTTTTGGGTGATTTGTTTATGCTTTTCACTCAACTTTTCCCATCACAAAGGGAGAAAATTAAGTGGTTAATAATTGTTATAACATACACACACTTACATATACATATATATACTTAGCTATGTACTTAGTTTACAGATATGTAATAAAACTGTGCATTGTTTTTTCTAACCTTTATAATTCACACAATAAGCATATCCTGGGTGTTCACTTCAAGCCCTACCAGCGCAGGAGGAACAACAGTGAAGAACCCTGTTACCATGAGCCTCTAGGGAAGATAAGACATATCTAGAAATAATTATAACATAAGGAAGTATGAACGAATGCTCTGAGAGATGTGTGGAGCAATAGGAAGCAAATTAGAAGGGAAATTGAGCTGCTTCTTTTTAGTTTTTTTCTATTTTAAAAGAGGCCAAAATGAAGTGAGATTTCAAGTTGCCATGTTGACCATATCAACAATAAAACAAAAATCCAAAAAAGAAGACAGAATACTATTTACTTTTAATTAAAATGAAAAATCAGTGATCTAGACTTAACCCTGTGCATTGAAAATATTTCTGATTCAAAGATTTATACTTAGCCAAAGACCTCATTCTACTCATAACTTAGCAGATGGGTAGGGGCTGACTGGGAGAAAGAGTAGCAAAAAATTTAGAAAGTCTTACAAGAAATTCCATGTTTAAATGTGTTCAACTTTATACACAATACATTGAGGAGTGAATATAAAAGGAAGCCAGGCTAAGCGTCTTCAATAAATTCAACACCAAACTATATGAACACAAAATGAAACACTGGTTAAAAATACAGGCTTTTAACTATCATTTGTGTAAACATTTTACCTTTTTTCTTAGTAAGTTGCTTGATTCCAACCTGCTATATTTGCTACAATCCATATTTCAGATTTCAAGGACAGCAAAAAAGTTTGTGTATGAAAAAGAGAAATTGTGTGTGTGCGTGTGTGTGTGTGTGTGTGTGTGTGTGTTGTATTTGGGTAGAAGAGCAAGGGTAAAATTGGGGCCACCAAAGGTACATATTTACTGTGTACTTGATATGTGCTAGACTTTGCAATCTGAAGGGTAAATACAGGCTATGAAGGCTAAATTCCTGATTAATGTAAGCATATAAGAAAAGCCAACACTTTCCTTTATGTTAATTATTCATCAAAAGCCTATACAAAAAGATCAGCAACATCTGGGCACTTTGTTCTTTTATGAGCAGCAAAAGTCCACATTTCAATCAGGGTTTATTTTGTTTTAAAATCTGAATATACATCCTAGAGAAGACAATGGAAAATAAATGAAATTCTAAGCCCTCTGCTGGGAGTGCCTAAGACTCTGTTATTACACTAAATTCAGTTAAGCTGGTACGGAATCTCCCATAAAACAAACAAACAAGAAAATAGAACAGAAGGAATGACATCTTAAAATTCCGCTAATTAACTGAAATTTGCAATTGATAAGCAATTTTTCAACACTACCATCCTCAAGGAAATGTGGATACCAAATTGTGGGCTTCTGAGGAGTTTCGTTGCAAGTTCAGAGAGCTGACCATTCTTTAAAATGTGAGCTAGCTTCACCAAGAAGTCATTCTTTTGATATGTGTGGTTATTAAATGAATAAATTTGAATTGGATCTTTTTATTAAATCAAAATCCACCTGGTAGGACAGGTAAAATAAACACTCAATAATCAATGAGATTATAGTACTACAAAAACAAACACAACTCAGGAAAACACATATGTAAGAGTCCCAAGACTGAATGCATCCAGTTCTCACTAAGTTCAGCTTTCTACCACACTCTGCAAGCAGACTATTCTGGCACAGCTGTCCAAAGGCCCTAGCTACCTCTATTTTATTTCAGTTTTTTTCAGAATCAATATAAACACACCACCAACCTTAATTCCAATCAGCAGTCACAAGATACCTTGGATCAGATCAATAAATCTGAAAGATAAACAGAAAAACATTCCATAAATTTACTCAATTGAATGATTTAGTTTTTTATTTTACTAAGGAAGAAATTAACTTGGTTCCTTGCACGATAAAATTTACTGGCTGACAACATATTTATTTACAACAAGGGGACGTTACATAGTTACAAACTTTAACTTAATATTTTCTAGATTTCATTTAAAAACATATCTTAGATGACCAAATTAGAACTTATTTTTATTTTCATCAGTTTTTATTTAAAGTAGAACAATTCTCATGCTTATACTCTAAAAATGTCAACCAAAAAAAATTTCTAAATAAATTCTGTAATCAATGTACTAACATTTGTCTTGAAACTTATTTAATTAAAAATAATAAAGCTGATGCATTTGAATCCTTAATCTGATTTAACATCCACAAACAGTCTGTAGATTTTTGGTCCAGGATCAATAATCTGTTCAAAGGCAAAAAAAAAAGTCACCAAAAAAAATTTCAATAGCAACCTATTCATCATCCCATTGTTTTTTTATACCAAAGCTTTGCCACTAATTATGTTGAGGAGCACACTGTCAAATGAAGTAACAAAGGCGGTAAACCCAGGACAAAAGCAAACCCCAAACTGCTGTGTCCAGGGTCAGCCTATCTTTTGGACAGTTAGAAAAGAAAATAACTTTATATAGAGTGAGATTCTTGACTTGCTGCAGGGCATATCTATGGCTAAATCTCAATTTTTAAAACTTAAGTTAGCCCGGCCGGGCGTGGCTCAGCCGTTGAGCATCGACCTAGGATCCAGGCGATCAGGGTTCGATTCCCGGTCGGGGCACATGCCTGGGTTGCAGGCTGCAGCAGATCAATGACTCTCTCATCATTGATGTTTCTATCTCTCTCTCTCCTTCTCCCTTCCTCTCTCTGAAATCAATAAAGATATATTTTTAAAAAAAAGAAAAAGAATATGGGATCCAAGGACACACCGGGCAGTTGAGGCCTATATGGCATCTTGGACTAAGGAGAGGGAGGCAGGAGCCTGGGATTTCAAAAGGGAAAGCAGGTAATTCACGGGCAGAGGAGAAAGGGCAAACATGCGGAAAAGCAAATTCTTGCTGGACCACCCAGAACAATGGGACACAGAGGGGAGACCAGCAAAAAATAACCAGCTTGGAATACTTGATATCCCATAAAGCATATTTTGGGGTGGTAAACTGCTTCCCCTCGGTACATGTTAACTATGTTGATCGCTGGTCATCCTTCTCTAAGAAAAAGTGTTCCCTAGTTGCCTGGAGACATGGAAAGACCACAGAGAACTGCTTATTTGTTTGTGTGCAGTTTTAAACCTCAATTTACCATTGGACCACAGCCATTTCTTACTCAGAGCCCTTTGGCATACTAGATCAATGTCCTGATATCTTTAATATTCTTTTAAGGAGATTGGATTTTACGTTTTCTACACGCACTTTCAATATATACTTTCATAGTGGGGGGGGAAATCATTACTTGTGGAGTTTTTAAAAGCTCAGGCTTTATGTTTCATCATGTGATTGGGAAACATTCCAACTTGTCCCCACCACTGCCCCCCAATCTAGTCCCATCTCCAAAACTTCCAGTTTTTTTCAATACAGCAAAATTCAAATACAAACTTTATGTAAAATATTAATGCTATTTTAGATATGTGAACCTTCTATTTGAACCTATAGGGTTAGTGAGAGAAGAGCATCCATAAGTATTTGTTAAATGAATGAAGGGGCTTAGTGTAGTACTTTTCCGGTGCTTTGTCACATTGAAAGAAACGGTTGACAATTCTCCTTTGGGCAGAAATAAGGAAAAAACTGTCCCATCCTTGCCCCACCTACCTGACTTGCATCAAAAATATTTAATGGAAACAAAGTTCAGAGGGAGGAAACAAAGTTCAGAGGGAGAAGAGGTGTTTGTTTTTGACCTGGTGGACTCAAGTTCTCTCGGACTTTTTGTTTATTTGCTTTTCTCCTCTTAAGGAGAAGACTTCCACTTGCAGCACCAAGAGCAGCTGCTTTGTAAATAACTCTCTGGACTTTTTTTCCTCCCACTCAACCCAGTTATTGAGCAAATAGGCACAGAATAGTGAAGATGTATGTAGCCCTAAGGCTCAATCCTCACTGTGAACATCTGCCATTTCAAACACACAGGTCAAGACTTTTTGTGTAGTATCTTGCTAAGCAATGCCCTAAGCATAACTCACAGAAAATTCTTATCAGTAGGATTCAGCATCTGCTTCTAGGCGGCTTAACTTATCAGCATTTTAAAAGCACCACTTCTCCATGTCAGAAAACAAGCTTGAGAGTTAATTGTTAAGGCTTTTTTCTTTCTCTTTTTCCAGCGAGACATGATCTCATACCTACGTATTATAAATCATATTGTGATGGTCAGATCAAATTATAAGCCCTATAGCAAGTATGCCTAGTTACACCTCACAAGGAAGAAAAATTGAAACTCTCAGACATATTTTAGCTATTAGATTACCAAGGCCAACTGTCAATTGAACAGTCACCTTTCACACTTCCTGTGCTTCTCACTCTTAAAGTGACACCCGAGTCTCAATTTTACAGAAACTGTTACCACATGAGTAGTAGAAAATTTACTGCTTGAGTTTCATTTTACAGACACAAACTTAGGGAATACTGCAGTTGCAAGGCAACTTAAAAATCAATCCTATTTTTTAAATAAATTTAAGTGTTTTTACTTATCCATCATCTTTATATTTTTAAAATACATAGAAGTTTTCTTTTTAATATCATTTAATATGTCAGGGATCCAAAGTTCTTTGTTATCAAAGAGCTAACTTAGAATCTAGTGGGATAGAGGTGCTTATGAAAAGACAAAAGGCCATGATACAAAGAAGAACATGTCTGCTGTCACAAAGATAAACCAGGAAAGAGCTACCAGAGATCAAAGAAAGAAAAAAGTGGAATCCAGTTATACAGATAACCACAGAAGGCGCATTTGAGCGGAGCCTTGAAAGAGGCAAAGGGTTTTGATTCACGAGGATGGAATGGGAAGGAGATCAACTCAGACAATGAACTCAGCAGAAACAAAGCAATGAAAGCAGCAAAGCCCAGGGGATGTTTGGAACAACTCCCACAGAATTACCCAGCTAGAGTCACACACAAGGGCAGTAATTGGTTGAGAGGCTAGGCTGGGTCTGTATAGGGAGTAATGAGCTTGAATGACAAGCTGAGGACGTTATATCATTAAATATGTTTAATTTTGCGCTCTAAAGTGAACCACTGAAGGTTTTATGTTCAACAGCTGCATAATTAGGATATTTAATCTGGCTACACTGTGTAGATTGGATCTGAGATGAGAAGAGATTAAAGGGGAAGAGACCTTCTCCTTCAGAAGTCCATGTGAATGGTAATGACCAGTCAACTCAGGTAGAGACCCTGTCAATACAAAGCAGGAAGAGTGCTCTAACTCCAGCATTGGCGGTATTAGCCCACCCCGGCTGCGTAGCTACCACACTGGGGGACTTAAACAATACAAGTGTGCTCTGTCACAGTCCTGGAAGCTGCAAGTCTGAGATCAGGGTGCCAGTTTGACCTGGTTCTAGCAAGAGCTCTCTCTTCCTGGGTGCTGGCTCGTAGGCATCTGCCTTCCCCTTGTGTCCTCACATGGTCACTGTCAAATTAGGGCCCCACATTTGTGCCCTTATTTAACATTAACTACCTCCTAAAAGCCTTATCTCGAAGTACAATCACACTTGGGGTTAGGGCTTCAACACAATTCAGTCCACAGCAGTGTGTATAACCTACAGGGCTTAGGGGTGGGTTGGTTATAAAAGGCCCAGGACAGATCAAAGGAGCCTCGAGAATTCTGGGGATTTGAGACCGCCCCCCAGGATGATGGTGTCATTCTTAGAAACAGGGAAGTTGAAGGAAGACCAGGTTGCTGAGCAAGGGTAGAGAGTGACAGGCACTTTTAGACATACTATATTTGAGTTTCCCACAGGATGATCAAGGGAAGGTATTCATCAGACACCTAACGTATTCATGGAGCATACGACTTTATGTGATATGCAAGAGTGAAATCTTACTTAAAATGAAAACAAAACAAAAAGGAATGAAAATGGTGCTGATTTATATAATTAGGCTAAAATATATCAAGACAGAATCAGAAGTGGATATGTATGTTCCACATCATAGAATTAGGTTGTATAGCTACATTATTGAATATTTAATCACATTTTACCTTGAGAGATAGCTGTAAATTTAATAGCATATTGGCTGTCTGTAAGTCCACATAGTTCTTAATGAATGCCATATCCTGTCTGCCCAGACTCTGGGATGCTCTGGGCCAGTGACCCAGCAAATCCATGTTTGTATCTCAAGCACTTAATGTGGTATATGGCACAAAGTCTGAGATGCATAAACGTGGAATGAGTCAACTCCCCCAGAAAAAGAGGCTGAGTCACGGGCACCTCTAATTTCATCTCTAGACTTTGAATTATTCAAATGAAACAACATCACAGGAAGCTAGGCACTAGGTACGCCTCTTAATAGAATGTTCTGTACTCTGACATGTTCTCTGTAGCTGCTGTAACAATGGCTGGAAAGAAGGGTTAAGGCTAAAGAGGACCAGTTCCATGCTGGGAAATTATATCTAATTCACCCATCTGCTATCACAACACTGGAGAAAAATGAGCAGGTGATGCAAGAACTAGACAAAATAATAATTATACATTTAAAGTGAATAACTTTCAAAGGATTCGGTCATGGAATTTGTTTTATGAAAACTATTGCACAGTAAGTCCTCACCTAATGTCCTCAATAGGTTCTTGGGAACTGCGACTGTGGGCGAAAGACATATACCATCAGCTAATTGATATAAGCAAGAGTTAAGATCCTAGGCCCTATTTCTGGTCACAAAAACATCACCAAACGTCTAAATAAAAACCCAAAACACTTATAATATTAAACATTGAAACAGATGTGAGCTGTACATACATTTAAGAAAAATGAATAAAAACAAGTAAGACAGTGATG